AAAAAAAAGTGAGAGTCATTTTTGCAAGCCCCTCTGATCATGTACATACCCAAAAACACACCAACGACATATGGAATATATGCCACCCCAACCGTCGTCGGCGGCTTCCAGGATCACAACGACGTATTCGGTAGAAAACATGACGTGTCTGGAATGCATGGTGTCTGGGGCCCTGGCAGCTCCTTGAGTTCGTCAAGATCAAATAGCTAACTGGATTGAAATAGGTTGTACGAACTTCAGGATACTACCAACACATACTACCCAAAACAATGTGCACCATGGGTCATGAGCATGTAGGCAGGTATGTAGACAGGGAAAACCGGACCTGCTTAACACCCTTTGGCTGTCATGGACAGCTCCCCCATAAGTTGCTTTGCATCTGTGAGCAACCTTTGGAGCCCAAGACTTCAACACTTCGACTGAGGTCAGCTCAAACATCTGCACCAAATCTAAGGCTTCTTGAACAAATCACCACCTGTAAAGAAAGGTGGCCCACTCTGTGGCCCCATCAGTTTGAACATGCACTCTGTGGCGCCAGCTTCTGAACAGGAAATGGGGCCCCTCACTGGGAGGAAATGGTGGGAGCCTGCCAAGTCCAACACTCTCAGGTCTCAGGTTCTGTTCTGAAATAATTATGCATGATGCAAGTTGGGCAAGTCCAATTCAACTCGAAAACTTCACTTCCCGACTGCACAGAACATGCAGACGCTCGTGCTTAAGATTAACGAAGAGGACTCTAAGATTCACTTGCTGGCTCAGTCAGTTCCCTTTCTTCACCTTTGCTCAACCAAAGCGAGGTGGACATGTTGTTATAGTTTGTTGGCATTGCATTGAGTTGGCTGCACTGCGCTAACCATCATCGCACGCCGCATACGCAGCCTCAACTTCTTCCGTCCCTTCGTCCAATCCTGGCCGTTCGGAACACTTGGGAGCAAAACCCTACCCCCCATGACGGGATACCAACAGGCTCAAAAGGTCACTCCCATCATCTTTATGTGTCTATGTGTGTATATATACCTATTAATATTATTAATATATATATATATATGTGTGAGTGTGTGTTTAATCTATGTATACATGTGTGTGTGCATGTTCACTTCAAGAATTTACATCATCACCAAAGAATGCAGCATCTCAAGAATGTACGGCGACTGCGGCACTATAAAGGCCAGGACGCTACGAACGGGTCTCCTGTCCGTACTACTAGGAGCAAGAATGCTACTAACGGGGCCCCTGGCCTTACTACTAGTAACAAGAAGCTATTAGAAACAATAATCAGAAGTAAATTTGATTAGAATAGTTCGATGTCACTCGATGTCAGCCGCGAGGGCGATGTCACTCTCGACCCACACGGTGCGAGTTCGTCGATCGAGTACCCCAAAGGCCCAACCTCCTCATCCTTGCCAGTCCTGGGACAGTCATGGTGCCAGCACCGTCAGTGGCTCCATGATAGCACACATACAACTGTCTATATATATATGTATCCTAATAGCTGTAACAGTGGATGATGTTGGTTAGGACAGGCCTTGTTCAAACATAGTAATAATTGTTTACTGACTGTTACACGTAATAGGACAGACCCAATATATACTTGCATATACTCGCTAATTCTATAATACGCGCAAACATGCACAACAACAAACGTGAAAAGAATCAGGCAGGTGACAAACGAGCAAACATGGTCTCCAAACTACACACGACCCCCCAGAATCCCAAACTACTGGTTCACAGTTTAGGCTGGACAGCGGGTGAAGAGACACGAAGCCCTCTTCTGCCCTGGTTTCAACCCTTCCTTCCTTAAGTATCCTTAAGTGCTTTCCAAGTCATACCAGGGATGGCTCATAGACTGCTTTAGAACAGCAATTGAAGCTGTTTCCAGAATGGGTGACCTAGACTACCTATAGACAAATCAACCTGCTCCCTGCCTTGGGCATGGTTCATACAGTAGACATGCCCGATCCCCATCGACACTGTCGGGAAAAGGTGTTGAGTTCCCGCACACCGCTGGGCTCAGCCAGATGGACGAGCGCCGCTGCGGCGCTTCGGGAGTTTGCCTGGCCGCTCGGTCAAACATCCGAAACGGGTGCGACCACCGATCCCCAAACCAAACCGAACACGCACCAAGAAACGGGTTGAGTCAGGTTGAGGACCTGCTTTGTGGGGTTCTTCGTGGTACAATACCATACAATTAGCACCAAAACCACTATAATACTCAATGATGAGGTACCGCATGGTACCGCACCAGACCTTGCTTTTCGGAAACGGTTCCCATCCCATCCAGTAGATGGAGAGCGACCCGCAGAAGACATGCCCGGCTGTACGCCACAAAGCCTGCGAGCAAGAGAGAGAGAGAGAGAGAGAGAAATGCATGAGCTGGCTATAAGTATAAGACCATTTCCATTTCCATACCGAATCAATGAAAGGCTGGACCAGCGCAGGTGAGGTGATGGTCGTGGCTTCGTTTTTGCCCAGGCCGGGGAGCTGCTGGACCTTCCGGATTACGAAACAGGGCCGGGGAGCCCGGGAGCCCGTGCGGTTCCAATCGTGGCACCGTGGTCATCATGGTCATAGTGGATCCCAAACACGACCCGTCTGGGACTGCCATAGGACTGCCGATCAGTTGGGGTGGTTGAAAAGGGGTCCATGTAGACATATATGGCATACATGTAGTGTCTGGGGATGATCCAACGATCGAAGCCTACACCGAAAACAGTACAAGTTTGTTGGTAACAAGCCTGTGAATACATGACCTACAACCCTTTCCCCCTGAGAAGCCTTAGAATCCTACAGGGGATCACAGAGGAATTCCGGTGGATTATATAATTTCCCCGAAGTAAATTTATAGTATTTTGATTTAGTTCGGGGTGGATGTTAACCCGCCGGAATTCCATTGGGCAAAGAGACGTCATGTCAGTGAGATTTTGGAGTGAAGCTGTTACCACACTTTCCTGCAAATATGAGCCAAAGCCTGCAGGAACCCTCTTCCCTTCCAAAACCTGCAGCAGTCCGATTTGTGTGGGAGAGAGGGCGCCACACTCTGCACTCGAAATCCGCTCACTCGAGCCACGCGCTCTTCACGTGGAGAGGGGCGGATCGTTGAAGATCTAAACGGGCAGTGCCACGCAGAAGGTGGAACATGTGTATTCATGGACATTGACATTAAAAAGATAGTCTGGTAACAGAAATATATTCTTAAGTCATCTTAAAGAATATCAAATTGCAAAGATTGTAGAAGTACAGCATGAAGGCTATCGAAGTGGTGAGCAATGCCATCTTTGGGCACGCAAAGTTCTTTGACTTGATGCACTCGGAGTGTTTCAAAGCCCCTGACTCTACCCACCACCGCAGCCATCCGCAGCCTGTTCTGCTCTGCTGGGCCACCTGATCCCCATCATTCCCTATCTGGCTTGCTTCACACGACTGGGTGCTGGGATCTACTCGTTGCGTGCTTTTGGCTGGATTGAGCACACCTGAGGTGTCTAGAAGGATCCAAAAAGGGTGCTTCAAAACATCCTCCAGTGACTCCACTTCAGAACATGCTGGCACCCCAGTCACAGCACGAAGCCCAACGTTACAGTGTAGCCACGCTTCTCTGCGGCATATTCCAGGAAGTGCGCGTGGTCATCCAGCTCGTACTCCACCGTCTCCACATGGTCCTGCGCCAGAGAACATCACCGCCGTGGATGGGCAGGTGGGAATGAGTGGCATCAGCGCCGGGGCAGAAGAGGCATGAAAGCTGTCTGGAGGAATGGGGGCGACACCCCTTGAGATCTAGGAAAACAGAACAAATGGTGGTTATCTTTAATACATCTTTAAACTCTGAAGTCTGCTCACAGGTCAACCACAGCGGAGGCTGTGGATGGTAAATACATGCAAGCAGTGGCACGAACATACCCCTATACAAAGCACACAAAGAACAAGGGGATTAAGAATAAGACTATCAGAGGATGCGTATCAGTATACAGGATACAGGACTTTTTTTGGGCGTGACTCTAATATATACAAAAGGATTATATATATATATATTACATTATTACATCCACAAACTGTCCGTGGCAGCAAGCTTTAAACTTCTCCTGCATTTCGTGCAGGTCCAGGCCACGCTTGGCGTGTTGGGCTAGCTCGATCCAGCCTCAGTTCTATAGGCAACTTCAGGATTTATGGTCAGCCCCAGCCGCCCAGTGCCACCCAGTTCCTCCATGGTCCTCCTTCTTATGATACCTGGCCCCTTGTCCCGCCGCGCAGCCGTTGGGCGTGGGCTGATTGAAGCGCAAGCCCATGCGGGTGAGACCCCGAGGGCCCAAGCAGGCCAAGAGATCACAACTCGCCGCCTCGCACCGCTGAGGATCGGTGCTGAAACACCGCGAACGACGTGGAAAACCCAACCTCTGGACCTCTTCAGGTCCGAATGGTCTCAACGACGTGAGCCTCCCTCAATGGAGCCTCTCCCTGATCCATTCCCCAACAGCGCGCGACCGTGGATGGCACGTTGGCCCTATGGGCCTCCACGTGGGTGATGGCGGTTAAGCTTGGATCGCTGGGCTTGGCGAAGCCCATGGCTTTGAAGATAAAGAGCGCGGACCTTCGGCACCGTAAGGCCGGCCGTGGCGTTTCGGCGGCGGCCGCGGTCGCAAAAGGTCGCGGTCAGCAAGCAAAATACAAAGAATAGAACCACACTGCTCAATCAATAGGATAGGATGGATATAGGATGGATAGGATGGATTTGTTTTGAATGTTCTCTGATCCATCCAGTTGACAGGTGGTTCGACTTTTGGATTCGGATTGTACGGGAAATGTCGGGCAAATTTGGATCGTTCAGTCTAGAAAAAGTTGCTCCAGTCCCACCTGTCCTCCTGTAATCGGCGAAAACACGGCCAAAGGTGGAGTTATAATACACTTGGCATTCTGTTCAATAGACAATTGATAGACAATACGTATAAGAACCTTGATACACAATAGGGTTCATACGGGCACATATTTTATCAATCCTTGTGAACATAGAATCATTTAGACATCCAGTCTGCGGCCATGTTTGTCCCTGGTCAACGGGTCAGCCCTCTCGGTGTGGTCGTATTGCGTCGCGTCGTCTTCCACAGGTGATTTCAAGCTGGTTTCTCGGGGGGCAGCTTCAGCGAACCTGAACATAGGCCCTGGAAGATTCACATGGAACCTGAACACATCTGAAAACCATTGGGTTGTTGTAAAGGAGAGAGAGGAGAAAAAAAAAAACGTCTTCCAAAAGGTCCATTCTCAGGTTCCATGTGAGTCTCTTCCCAGGTGGTTTCTTCAGTCCCTCCGTCGGTCCTGCATGCATGCCCAGGCGCAAGAGGGAGGACTTGAAGGATCCGGTCGCCTGCATACCAGTGGTTTCAGAGTAGATGGCACAATCGCCCATGGAGGTGGTTCAGATGGACCTCCATATAATCTACATGAATCCACAGTACTCTGAAACCGTAAATGAGAAGAATGGCATTCGGATGGTGTCGGCTTCAATCCACTGAAAAGCGGATTTGCATTGATCACTTCGGGCTTCTGGGTCTCAGGATCTTCTTTGAGGCAATCCTGATTGGAGACCCCTTTGTGGATTCTTCACTTAATGACATAGACAGTTGTGTTTAACAGTTCAAGAAGTGCCGAACCGAGTCTCCATCGCAAAGCTTAAAGAGCTTTCAGGCTCCACCGGAAAAAGAGAGGCCCCGTAGGACTGTGGCACCAAGCGGTTGGACATGGCCTCGGGCTGTGGCGATACAAGGTGTTGAGAAGTGTTGGACAAAGACGTGCAACAAAGAGGAAATCAAAACAGTTCAACCTGTCAATGTTAATTTCACCATGGCACTTCTGGAGAGACGATCTCCTCAATATACAAATCAAAAGGGTTCTGGAAAAGAAGCAGCAGTAAAAAAACGTAAAAAACAAAAAAAACCGCACCTTCAAATCTTTCGGGGGCGACTGCTGGAGTTCGATGACTCCCAACATTCCCTTCCCTGCGACTCCAAAAACACATCCAACTCGACCCTCCAAGCATCTTCGAAAAATCCTCCATAAACCCACTGTTCGGCGCCCACACTTGCCGCGGGCGACCCCCCCCCAAAACAGCCTCTCTCCACCCCAAACCCCCTCTTTTCTTCGACGCCCCTGATCCGAAACGCTCCATCTTATAGGTGTGTGCCCGGTTCATGTGTAAGGTGTACGCTTCATCCACCGAGTGGCGTTGTTGCGCAGCGATGCATGGTCTTCGCACTTGGGCAGGACGAGGTCCTGGGATGAAAACACCCACACGTCCGACTGCGATGATCTGCGATCAACGGTTCCAGACTCAGCTGAATGTCTTCTCACCAATCAGTATGGTACACGGTTGTAACCGTAGTGTGTACGGCCCTTGTGCCCCCAAGATGTCTGAAAGAACCATGGTGTTTATCACTTTGCTTGGTGGCCCGTCGAAGTAGGGGTCGATTTTTTGGGGTTCGATCGGCCTGAAAGTCCGTTACAAACCACTCCCTGGTTCCTCAAACTTGGATTGTTGTCCCCCAACACCCCATGTCTGGAACTATTCGCCTAAGGTTGGGAGTTTCTGGGCCAGGTGTCTGGAGCCTCTGGCCTCTGGTCTTTCCGCCACAAGGAACCCTCCTCTGACCGGCCCAAGATGCGGCCAGCAGCCATTCCACTGGGTGGTCGAGGTGAAAACCCGCGTCCACGGCCTGCTCGGGCTTCCCCATCCGCTTGATCCTCACGCGTCTTGGAGCTGGCTGGCTTGACCTTTGAATGGCTCAGTTTCTTTGGCTGCGAGTAGCAAATGACTCTGGTGTTAAGCTGTGTCAAGCCATCACAGCAGCATCCAGGAAGAACTTGGCATACAGTATAGCTCCCTCAATTTATCCACAACCCTGTTCCAAAGTGGAAAAGCACAAGTCCTGTATGTCTGTCTGTGTGTATGGGTGAACGTACGCATCCATGTAATGAAGTCTAAAAGTTAATGTGATGACGGGTGTTATATCAGTATATATATATATATACTTGAGGCCGAGGGTAGGTGACGAAAGCTAGCAGGGGTGCATCCGGACTGGTGGGACATCAAGCGGAGTGAGGCAAATGCTCATGAGGTAAAACGTTGTGAACATGTAAGACACACAACCAGCAATGACACAGCCAACCTTAGAATTGAAGTCCCCGATAATTAAGGAAGCGTGGCTGGACTTTGCCACACTGTTCGATGCATCCGATGTGTTCACGAACCTGTGAGCTTGTTGAATCTGTTGCACCGTATCCCAAAACCTCCACGGAGGAGTTGAACCAGTGTGGATGCCATAAGAGGTGCCCAAGAGGTGTCCCAGAGGCAAAACAAAGCTGCTTGCATGATTTGTTTGGTTTCTTCTATCGATGTCGATGTCATGAACATGTGAGCTTGTTGAATCTGTTGCACCGTATCCCGGAGGAGTTAAGCCAAAGTGGATGCCATAAGAGATGCCCGAGAGGTGTCCCAGAGGCGTCCGAGGGGGGAGTTGAACCCACGGGGGGGGAGGGGGGGCCTACATATGAAGTTTTCACGTGATGCGGCGATCCCGAGGATTCCAGCCCCTCACTTGCTAAAGCAAGGACAACTCCAGCTAGCTGGTGCTAGCTTTCGTGATATCAATTGTATATATAATGTAATGTTATGTTTCATACGCATTTGTGGATGTCTGTGTATATGTGTGCCTCTCTGTCTGTCTCTGTCTGTTTGCTCTGGTTTTGGTCTGATCTGGTCTGTCTGGATGGGTGGATGGATGCATGCATGCATTGTGTGTTTGCCTGTGTGTGTGTGCATGTACGTATGTACATATAGGCATGTATGTCTAATTGCCTGTGTGTAAATCTATACCTATATGTTGATATGCTATATCTGTATATACGCATATCATCGAGTAGTATCTATGGACACCTATGGGCCAAAGGGTTTCACACTGCAACCATCCTCATGCACTCGTTGCGCTCTCCTACACCACAAGGAGATCTCGGAGACGGGAATCTCGTGCTGCAGTTGGCTCAGTTGGCTCATCATCCGAAGGTCCGGCACCTTGCAAGCCTGGCGGATATGATGCGGTCTGAGACATCCCGGAGGGTCGGTCTGGTGGTTGCGCCCTGGCTTGTTTTGGGGGTAGGAAAAAGGCCTCCACAATGTTCAACAGCCAAGGGTGCTGCCGTGGAAGCAACTTGAATACCCAAGGAGATGACATCAAAACAGTGTCAATGGTAAATACAAGGAAAAACGAGACGATGTCCCATCTTCCATCATCTTTCAAACAACATCTGAACATCTGTTCCATGGACACCCCACTTCTGACTGGTCCCCGAACTGGACTCCAGGCAGTCGGGCTCGGTTCCAGCCTGGAGGAAGCGGTTCGCCAGTCTCCTCGGCCCCGGACGACGAAGGCGTGGGCCAAAAAGCCAGGCTGGGCAGCCCCCCCTGAAGCCAAATGCTGATCCTCACCGTTTTCATCGGCCTTTGTGGCAAACCTCGATGGGATTGGCATGCATCTTCTGCTACAGTTACTTACTTTGGTGCACCATGTGGATGATTGTAAATATTCTTTCGGTGGACCGAACCATCTGTTTGTTTGGCCCATCTACAGAAGCTCCTCGAACGGTTGAGGGAGCCGTTTAGCATGTAAAACGGGTGAGAAAACGACTCACAGTGTCTCCAGCCATGGAGGGAATGTAAGCCATGAAGACTAATTAGCCTGATCAATCTTGAGGTGAAAAAAGGCGAAATGAACCCAGCCATATCCTCCTCACCTACCGACCTACCTCAAGAGGCCGAGAATCAGCATCAACTCCTTGGAGGCTTTGATGCTCAGTTCAAAGCTCTCCAAGTCGCTCGGCACCCGCAGCTGAGCTCCTCAGGTGTGGTACGTCTGTCCGATGGTTTGGAGCCCGGCCGACGGTGGCGCGCATCACTATGCAGGACTCGCACAAGGTGGCGACTCTTCTCGCTACAAAGGAAGACCAAAGGGTCATCTTCTCTCAACGCTTCATCGACCACCGAGCCAGCACCACTTGGTCCTCCTCCAGGGGCCACGTGCACCGCTTCATCGAAGACAAACTTCAACCACGTCTCAAAGAACTGCCACTGCTCCTGGGAGGTGCAACAGGACACTGCCACATGGCCAGAAGAAGGCATAAAAAGGCTCAACACGGCGAGCACATGGTGTGAACTCTTTGTGGCGTGATCTCTGAGCCTCGCTTGCCACCGCCCGAGACCCATCTCATCCCATCTCACAACTGTTTGTTGGTAAGGCTGGCTCTAAACAATAGCACCATGACCTAGCAACATCCATTTTGTAATACGTTTGCACAAAGACAGGTGAGTTTCTGCCCTTGTCCCCGGTTGGCGCGTCGGTGGCGGATCGGCCTGGGATGCGTTCTGCGATTCCAACAAGTAGTATGCAGCTTTCTTCATGCGATCTTGCCGGGTGAAGGAGCTCAAGTGTGGAAAGGGACGATCATCATCTGACGGCGGCGGCTGACGTCGGCGTGATGACTGGAACATGTTTCGGCCTGTGCTGCTTTGGACAGGTCGCACGAATCCAGGTGTCAACAAGGCAATGGAAGGTATAGTCTGCGTCTGGTGACGATGGCACGCCATTGTTTCAAGGACGTTGGGGTCAATCATTTCTCCGCTCAAGTCTCTTCGCTGGCAGATTCATTGAGGCCGAGGCATGTGCCAGGTTTGTGACACACAGCATGAGGAAAAACATCATGCAATACACAGGCTCAGAAGGAACAGAAACAAGATCCGAACTTGACACGCAAGACCAAGTTGTTTCAATACAAACGTTGAATTAAAGGCTTGGTCTCATCATTAATGATTGGTCTTGTCTTGACTCAAGACGTACAAACTTTCTCAGACTCTGCAGCCACACCTATCTCCTCAGCTTCAGCACTTCCAGGGCTCTCTCGACTTCGGTTGGTGGATAGGCTGCTTCTCTGCTTCTCCATGGCTTCGTGCTTCCATGCATTTTGGCTTCTCAGCTGCTTCTCACAAAAGCGAGGCAAATGTGCTTTGTTATTAGTATATAATTAATTATATCCCCATATAATTCCAACATTGATGATACCAAATCCTTGGCCTGGCCAAACACACACAGGATTTATTGTATATTCTGTGTATGTACGTATATGTAAATATGTATTTACATTAGGCACCACACACTATACTACGGCTTGAACATGCTCTAGCATATGGGGATGAGGCTCAGTTCTAAGGACCTCTCCTTGACGAGATCCGTCCTTGAGCCGATCGTCATGATGGGACCACCCCACGACTGGAGAAGCTCCCCATGATTCGCAGGCTCGTTGGACGCCTGCGACGCCTGCTTCGGTGGGTGGCTCGTCTGCTTGAAATCGCATGGAACACCTTGGTGAGACCCTAACCACAGCTTTGTCTGCTTGCAGCCCTACACTCGGACTGATTGCTCTGTCCACATCTCCACCTCTGCGAGGAGCGCGGTCGGGAGTGCATGGCCTGTGGCGAGATCGGTCGGTACAGGTCAGGGTGCGACTGGGCCAGAAAGTGTGGAAGGTGAGGTAAACATCACATTTGAGGTACGGGTATGCCCTGGTTGCACTCCAAAGGTCGAAAATGGGTCTGCTTGGTGATGCTTGCGCTCAGTCAGAATCAGCTTTAGACACCCACATCGCCGAAATTCCTTGACTTGCTTTGTTAGTTCATTTGCTTTCCGGGCGCCACGGGAGTGAATATGGCTGTGGGATCAAAACCGGGGGACCCTGGCGGACCATGGAACATGAACAGATTAGACGACCAGGTCAACGACCGACAGCCATACATGACTTTTGCCGCGGCGCTTTTGAAACGGGCGACACATGGGAGTGTGCAATCCGGGTGCCCAGCACAAATCCAAAGTCTCTGCAAGGTGAGGCTGATACTGCACCTGGCTGCTTTCGGCTAGCTCGGTTTGGGTCCATTCTCCACATAAAAGGAATGAAAGCAACAAAACTGCAACTCGCGCACAAAGCAGTGCCCTACCCCATTTAATCATTTACCAGCTAAACCACTAAACTTAAAGAAAAAGCTAATCAAATGCAAACAGTCATGTTTCTGAACTTCGTGAAATTCCCACGGGTTGCCATTTCTTCGCTATACATTCTTCCATTTCTCCGGGTGCAGTCCGTGACATGTCTGGGACATGTCTCCGGCTTTTCAGCCGGGTGGACCGTACGGCTGATCCCATGGATTCACCCGATCCGGTGTTCACCCGATCCGGTCTGGAGTAGAAACTGGTTCAGGCTCTATCAGTGGTGCTTCACGCTCTATCCACTCCAGCATGGATCTACATGATTTCTGCATGTATCATATCTTATCCGGGTCTCCTTGCATCTTCACGGCTGATGTCTTGCGGGTCGACTTACTTGACGTCTCCGAGTGCAAATTACGGTAGCAGAATTGATCCAGGTTTTCCGTGTGTACACATGCTTCAAGAACATCAGCCAAAAGGTGGGAGTAAAGATAGTAAAGGGAAGCCCGTGAAGTCCGCCAAACAAAACAATGCTGCATGCCATATACAGCTCTTGTCCGTTTTTGATCAACCAACCGCTCCTCTGAGCCCACATGTTTGCCGTTTCCTGGTTTGAGCTGCAGCCGTTCATGGAAGGTCTGAAGCCGAGTGCACCAACTTCGGTGCAAACATTGTTATAAGCATTCATTTGCACCTGGTCGAACTGCTCTATCTCTTGAGCTCTATCCTGGACAGGTCCTCAACTTCTCTTGGTTGCAGTAGTTGATGGAGCGTCCCCTGAACATGTCTGCAGTGGTTGGCACCTGATCTCAGGCGATCTGGGGAATGTCAGTCCGATCTGATCGCCTCCTCTGAATCGCCGTTGTGGGCGCTGAGGAGTTTGCGGCCTAGGTTCTGGCATCATGAATGGCCATTGAAACTCAAAACATGAACCAGCAAACTTTGGACGTTTGTTCAGATAGTTTTTAGTAGTTTTTCAACATTTCTCAACCACCCAAGCAATTTTAGTAACACTTCTGGAAAAAAACACTCGTCGTTGCTTTTGCAACCGAGAGGTAGTAACACATCTTAACACTTGCCATGGAACCTCAACAAACAAAATGTATTCAACATCCCTGTGGTCCTCACCACCACCCATTGCCACAACTACGGGCCCCCGAACGGTGTGCCCGGGTTCGCTGGCGAGGCCAGGGTCCTCAGGATTTGTGGCGTGGGGATAGATGGAACATCATGGAACCCGAACGGGAGCATCTTCCTCTACAAAGCGAGAGGATTGGGATTTCAATGGATTGATACCTTCCAGTGGGTGCTGGCCGGAATCCGTCCCGGACCCGGCTGGACAGCCGTCTCGGTCGGACCGATCGACACCGGAGGACGCTGGACGAGAGCGATCGACGAGAGCGAGGCATGACAAAAAGAACTCAAGAACTCCCGTGGAAAAGGACCTGCTGACCTGCTTCGAATATACTTTTGACTTTGAAGCTCTTCGAGATCTGAGACCGCGAGCTAGACATGGAAAATAGAACATATAATATATAGAAAAAAACACATATAAGGGTTTTACGGTTTTACTCCATTCGCTCGCAAGGTGGCGCAGAAACAGCCCCCGCAAGACTCGTTCGGCCAAGCCGCATTTGCGCCATGGCCTCCGTGTCACCCATGAGCTCATCCGCGCTCTCCCGATCCTGGCGGGCGCGAAGGAAGGTGAGTTATGTGGGAATGATTTGGAGAACAATGGGGCAGCTGCATCCAAGATGGATTGGGGCTAAGGTGGGCTTAAGGTGCAAGTTAAGATAGTATCCAAGCATCCGAAGTGGAGATTTACTATCAAATGTGCAGTGCCCTTTGCGGAGGCCCCCGTTGCAAAGGCTGGTGGGGATTGCCATCTGCCTCCAGCTAGCCAGGAGACAGTTTCCGCGACTTGCAAGTTGGTGAACACGTTGACCCCAAACCACACGCTGGGCGATCTAGGTGTGACGGTGTGGCCCCTAAGAATCATGAAGCTTCAAAAACATACTAGAACACTTTATTGTTACTATAGTAGCGATAGCCCCCAACCTAAAAGCGATGGCCTCCAACCTACTAGCTTCTAGTTACTAGAAAGCTTCAATGACATACTAGAAAGAACCCATCCACCCTCCTCCACCCTCATCCACCCTCTGACCGACTCTGCCTTCGCCTCGCCCCGCCACAACCCTCACTCCTCGGAGCCGGGACTGCCGTGGGGTCGAGCACGCTTTCCGGCCTCGGGGGCGGCGGCGGACGTGAAGCTTCCGGGCCACGGAGGCTACGACCGAAGCAAAGCGGAACCGGGCCTCAAGTGCGGCCACTTTGAACATCGACTATCACATGAAACATCATCAAGATCGAGGATGCACCATGCACATGCAATGGTGCAAATGTAAAAATGGTTAAAGATATGTTCTTGCCTTAGCCACTGATGCCAGTTGCAACAACAGTCCTGAAATCGCCTGAACTCATGCTTCTTGAAGAGTTTCCTTTCATACTTCCTCAGCTCATACTTCCTCAGCCCGGACGCCTGTCTACATCTGTATGACCTGCCATCATACTTAGACAGGTTTCCCTGGAATCACCCTTCAAACAGCCCTTGCAGAGCTTTCTTTTGATCCGAACCCGGTCCCAGGACAGCAACCTCGCTGACCTCGCTGACCCTCCGACCCCTTTTTCCGAGGACCGGTGACGTTCTTTGGTGGCGTGACCGGTGCTGGGCTAGCAGCACCTGAGTCATGCAGTGGGGAGGCCGGGACCTCGAGGAGTCGTGACGCTTGTGACGTCTGAGAAGAGGGGTCGTGACGCTTGTGACACACGGACGAAAACATCACGTGGACGTGGATTCGCATGGCCCCTTGGAAGACGTCAAAAGGTGAACTCCACTATGTAATCAATTGATATGGTGGATCTCCACATGCTGAGATCCACCTCTCCCGGACCTTTTGAGTCTTCGAAGCTGAAGATCTTAAAACCATTGGGGCGTCAGTGCCGGCGACCTCCGAGCATTCATACTTTAGACTTTACACGCCATTTCCAACACAAACCAACACAAATATCTCCTTTTCTCCGACCCCTCTTCCGTTTCCCAGCAACAAAGCTAGGGTTCACCCGCTTTTTCCCACCTCTTCCGTTTTCAATGGACTTTTCAGGTTCTCTACCGTGCCATTGGACATGCTCGTTCGGCCATATCAGCCTGCTTGCCTCTCCTCCGGGCGCCCGGCGGAGGCGGTGTTGTTCGTCATCCCAGCGGGACACCAGTTCGTTCCTGGGCGCACGAAGGCCATTCCTATTATATAGGTTCCTTGCGCTACTATAGTAAGAAACCCTAGGGATCCAAGTGCCTTCTCAGAAGGTGTTTGGGGTGGGTTTGGAGGTCCAGGTGCCTTCTGAGAAGATACTTGGATCCCTAGGAAGAAGCTTTTTGGTATGTCTTTGAAGCTTCTTAAGTAGCATTCTTGCTACTAGTAGCTAGAAGCTTCCTTGGGAATCGTTTCACCGGGAATCCTTTCAGCTGTAACAAGAAGCTACTAGTAGCGGGTAACAGTTCGTGCGCCGAAGCGCACGCAGGAAGGCGGGCGCGGGTGACGTGGCGTGAGGAAAACGGTGCACGTCCCATGGACGACACGAACGACAACCCATGTCTTCACTGAAAAGGCAGGGAGAGAGAGACCTGTTCTTTTGTCAGGGCGACATCACCCTGGTATCAAAGGGGTTCTTTGGTCTAGTCAACGAGGCCAAGTCAAAAAGCTGACATTGCAAGATACTATCCCTCCAAACAAACATGGAAGTGGAAAATGGCCTCTTGGAAGGGCGCGTTCCTCTACAAACAAGTAATTTTCCACTTCCATCTTAGTTCCAAAGAGTGTCAGTGTAATTGGTATGTTATGTATTGTTATGTGCTCCGCTGCTCTGGGTCGCTCAATGGGGCGCCATTCATTCGATCTGAAAACAACGATTGCACCATATGCACCGATGTGCATCTCCGACTGGCTCTTCCATGAGATGCGGTACCACACTTAAACAAACTGTGTTTTCATGCAAAGCAAGGGACGAAGGCAGGCAGGAAAGGCATGCACGGGCACTGTCACTATCATGTACAAAGGCAGGAGAGTTACTCAGCTTCGGGCAGCACGGAAAGCATGGTGATGGCGCTCATGCGGTCAGCCTGCCGATGTCATTCCTTTGGAACGTTGTCGATCGTTCATGTGAAACCCCCTTCTCTAATATGTGTTCCATCTCCTACCTCCATAGCCGAAACTGAAGGAACTGGACCAATTACCAGGGGTGTCCAAGTTCCATATGAAATATGGATGAACAAGGGTTAGACTTTGGGTGGCCCCGGTGTTCATCCATGGACTCCCGGACTGCTTGGGAACCCAGGCCGTGCTGGGTCGACCTGATCTTAAGGCCTGGAGGGTCCGAGCCTCTTGTGCATCGAGGATCTCGCGAAACAAAGGCTCCAGCACCTGCACGCTCGAAGGGAGTTCTCGCGCGAGGAGCTGGCGCACCAAGAAGCCGCCAAACACGGGGCCAGTGCACAAACTGCAAACCTATGCAAACCTCCTTCATCATTCCAGTATAAGTTAACCATGATTGGAGAGTGCCAAATAATATACGCAGCTCCACAGGTCATGGGGGCCAAAAGCCTGTCTGCACAACCGCTATACGCTCCCACTCGGCTCCATTGCGGCAAGCATGAAATGCAACCACCTTCTGCCCAGTGCAGACTCAAACCACATTCAAACGCTGTGACAGGTTTCAAGCCACATCCACACCACTGAAGGAGGTGACTTCGCACCTGCTGGCGCGAGGCCTCGGCGAGCGCCAGCTCCGTGCCGATGCTGCGAGACCTCGGCGGATGGATCCGGGAGGCCAACGGAGCTGGAACCAGTAGCTGGAACCAACCCCCAAAAAACATGACCTGATACTTTGAGAGAACCCCATCTTGAGAGGCGACTTGCAAGAAGGCAGGCCCACACGCAGTGACCAACTTTCTGGCATGCAGAAAACGGATCGTTCTGGCATGTACGTTTGACACGTGCTCTAGCCTGCTCTCCCATCGAATCTGGCATGTGACATGTTCTGACATGTGTTCTGTCGCCTCTTCTAACATTTGGTCTGTTATCACGTCTGACTGGCATCAAGTATGGCATGTCTTCGGACCGACCTTCTTTCTCAACGCTGGTGGTATGTCATAGAACTAGAGTGCAAATACTCTTCTTCTTCTTCTTCTTTTTCAGTCTTCTTTCATCTACGCCTGAAGCTGACTATGGCACTCCACCAGTTTGATTATATTGTTTTTTTGCAATTACCCCGCGCTAGCCATCAAGAATGAACCACCAAATTCAACCGTTGGCTCAAGCCCTTGCCAATACACCTAGCATCCCCCAGCGACAGCTTCCATGCCTAACGATTGTGAAGTGCTAAGGCATAAGGTCACAGCGGGTGGGTTTGACACAGGACTCGACTCGTTTGCCCCCTGCTAAACGCGAACAGCAATTACATCACAATCGACAATTCTGGATGATCATTAACCATGCACGGCTTTTTCAGTTCAGTAGAAGCTTGATCTTCCCATACTGGGTCAATATTCCAAACCGATTCCAAAACCAAATTTTGATAGCACGGGTATGCCCAAACAAAAATTGTTTTTATGGCTGACATCGCCCCCAGCAGAACTCGACATCCCTGCCGGAAGCGCGCCACGTGAAAGCGCTCGCGCTGAAAGAGACAGGGCACAAGAGCTGTTGAGCGTAGCGGATTTGTGCCCAATACTTTTCATCGCTGCTGTGACGGTACAAACCTCGGAGGAGCTCTCTGCCAAATGCAATTGAAGGCTTTATCTGGCCTAGAGGAGCTACAGCAAAATTGCCCAGCCATAAAACAACGTTCCTTCCAATCCGCACGTCTTTTCCAATGCGGCTCTGGTCGGCGTCGAATCTCGCAGGATTTGCTGCACAAATCTGCTGATGAGCCATGCACGGGAGCAGCGCGGCGCCCAAAGGATGAGCCAATGGCCTGCATCGGATGTGCCACATTGGGTGAGAGGACCCCCCCGAAGTGGACACCAGAACAGGTGGAAAAAGGGTATAAAAGGGTCTTTCTGCGCAAAGGCCTTGAAATGTCACGAATCCCAAACTGGCCATTGCAACCACTGCTAGGGCTCTTGGCGAAGCTGAACATGTATCAGAATCACAACATATCACAAAGAAAACACATGTTCCGAACTGAAAAGCCATGCTTTCGGAAAGTCAGACATGAATTGATAGACGGTTCAATGAGTTGGACCCCAGTTTCCGCATGGGAACTTGGGGCGCTGAAACTCATGCCGCAGCGCGAGTCAAACCTTCCGTAGGTGACCTCAAACCATGACAAATCCGATGCAGCTCGGTCATTGGGAAAATCCCCATCACTGGACCCCAAATCATATCCCAAACGCTTGACAAATCGCTCGAACGGTCCCTCAACGGATTTGAGACTCTGCAGACCCTGACCGCAAGCATTCGTGTCCGCGTCTGGGTAAAACTGACATCCACTAACCATCACGAGCACCTGAGCAGCTGAGCCATCGATCTCAAAAGCACACGCCATCGATCCCAACAATGCGACGAGTTTCACGACAACTCCATCGGCCCAGCAGGCCTCAAACGAACTCCATCTCCTTGTCACCCCATCCCAAGGATGCTTTGTGCAAATCAAACCTGGGCTGAACTTGTTTCTCCAGGCAGACTGAGTGTACACCAACATGTCAGGTCTCGTTCTGTTCTTCTTTTTTCTCAAACTTCCAGCCGTTTCACCCTATATTGGATTTGGCCCTCTACAGTCGAGGGGTTCCGGTAGCTGATGAATTCTTGGGCAGGACTCCTAGGACCTTCTAGATTCTGTAGAGATTCTAAAGTGGTGCCATCCGCGGATGATGTCACAGAGTGTCAGAACTCCGTCCTGAGAGAGGACCAGATCGTATATATATCCTTCAGATTCCATTCAGTTACCCTGCAAGTCCAAAATCGGCTGTACTTGTCCAAATTCATGGACAATTTTCTCTCTCAGGTCCCTTTGACGATGAATTCTTCCATAGTCTCCGGCTCCCTTGGTGAATGGAAACTGCAACGATTGATTGCACTCCTGTCTGGCACGCCTGAAACCGCGAGGATGAGGTTTCTCATCCTCGTGCGGTGCGCCTCTGACTCCTGTTCCGTTTCCGAGTTGAACTGAACTTTCGACCTGTTTTTTGACGTGACGAAGCGTGGTTATATAAGTACAGGTCTCGTGGGGAGAACCACTGGTGATCCACTTTTCCTGAGTCACCGGGGGCTCCAATAAGGGACGACACGTTCGCATCTCTCTCCAAGGGGCATCTGCTTCGTGGCCTGGAGGAATTTCTGGTGCACCTCATCGATCTGCTCCTCTGTGGGATTTTCAACCTGTCCAGTTCCAACGACCGTGGGCAGCTCCGGCGACACACCGGCCAGTCAGGGAGGAGGCAGGGAGGCTGTACCGTTCGACTTAGTCAAGGAGGACAAGGAGGAGGCAGAACTCCAGCTCCAGGCAGGTACCGAACTCAATAGCTCCGAATTTTCTCCTCCGAAGTGGCCCGCTTTTTGTTCGAATCCCCCCCTTTCTCCATCCCTGGCGCTTCGAATCACGCTTCGGCACCTTGGACACCTCGATGGCCCGGCCGAAGGCCATGGTCACCTCGGTCGCTCCGGATGTCGCACCCCACCCATCAGGATTTTTTTGCTGGTCATGACGTCTCCATCATTTGGTCTCAAGATGCTCGCGCACTCGATGTTCAATGCATTTCAGCAATACTACGGTCTACAGTGCCTACAGCAAATGCTTGGGCAGGCTTCTTGCCCCTTCGACACCAGGGATGCCGCTTGAGGTCACGGAAAGTGGGACACCCCATTTCACCGGATGTGGCTCAAGAATTTGAGGCCAAGGGGGGGGGGGCGAAAGCTAGCGCTCCAGAATGGGAAAGTGGAGGGCAGCGAGGTAGGAAAAAACACGGCGCTCTTTTTGGAGGCAGGGGTGAAGAGTCCTTTATGGCTCTTTGCCCGGATCCTCCTGCGAGAGAAGAGAGAGAAGAGAGACGGAAAGACGAGAGACAGAGAGGAGAGAGAGATGAGAGAGATGAGAAAGAGATGAGGGAGAGATGAGAAAGAGATGAGAGAGAGATGAGAGAGAGATGAAAGAGATGAGAGAGATGAGAGAGAGATGAAAGAGATGAGAGAGATGAGAGAGAGAGAGAGAGACAGTGAGAGTGAGTGAGAGTGAGAGTGAGAGTGGAGAGTGAGAGTGAGAGTGAGAGTGAG